AGCTAATACAAGTGAGGAGCTACCTTCACTGAGGAGTGTTATCATCAAATATCATTAACACTATGGGTAAAGAGAATAACGTAAAAGTTTTCAAAGTTAATTTTTTAAAAAACTAGTCATATACAAAGCAACAGGATTGAGAATGGGATTAGATGTTTGAGATCTGGGTACTAGAAATAGTAGTGAACTGCCTTGAAAATTATAAGAGAAAGTAATTTTCAGCCTAGATTTCTATACCCTGCTAAGCTATTAATCGAATATAAAGACATATGTAGATACTCAAGGACTAAATATATTTGTTCCTAGTCACTCTTTCTCAGAAATCTACTGAAAAGTGTGCTGTATAGAAATGACAAAGGAATTCATAATCCAGAAGACATGGGGTTCAGGGCACAGGAAATCCAACTCAGGAGTAGGATATAGGAAAGTACAGTATGATAGTTGTGCAGTAGGCCGGGAGAACACCAGTCTGGGTTAGAGCTCATGTCTTCAGGAGGAAAAACAAAACACAACTCATGGAGTCTTTGTTGTATTTAAGCATCTGGAAAAAATCACTGCTAAGTATTTGCCTGATTTATTGGATACACAGGAAATATTACCAATAGGCACAAAGAAAACGAATGAAAACGGAAAAAAATGAGGAAATTATTAGCCTCAAAAAAAAAAAATGAGAAGGCATGGAAGAAATGAAACATAAACATAAATAAAAGGTTTGACAATTAAGTTTGCAAACTCATCCTAAAAAAAGTGCTAAATATCACAGCAGCAGTCATCATATTAACCTTGATGTCCTGAATGTCATCAAAATGTCCTCCTTTCAGTATTTCCTTTTTCTTTGGGTAAAGAAAAAAGGCATTAGGGGCTAGATCAGATGAGTAGGGAGGGTGTTTCAATACAGTTACTTGTTTACTGGCTAAAAACTTCCTCACCGACAGTACCAGGAGAGCTGGTGCATTGTTGTGATGTAAGAACCATGAGTTGCTGGTAACAAGTTCAGGTTGTTTTTCCTCTAACTTTTTCATGTAGCCTTTTCAGCACTTCCAAATAGTAAATTTGGTTAACTGTTTGTCTAGTTGTTACAAATTCATAATGAACAATCCCTCTAATATTAAAAAAGTTTAGCAACATAATTTTGTCTCTCTTTTTTTTTTGTTTTTTTTGAGTCAGGTTCTTGCTGTCATTAGGGCTACAGTGTCATGACCTCAGCCTAGGTAACAGTAACCTCAAATTCCAGGGCTCAAGCAATCCTCCTGACTCAGCCTTTTAAGTAGCTGGAACTATAGGTGTGCCAGCATAGCCAGCTCAGTTTTCTATGTTTAGTACAGACAGGGTCTCACTCTTGTTTAGGCTGGTCTCTGACTCCTAAGCTCAGGCAATCCTCCTGCCTCAGCCTCCCAAAGTGCCTAGATTATAGGTGTGAGACACTATGCCCAGCCCTTTTGGACTCCTGATTTGGACTGACTTCCATTGTGCACTTTGACACTTTGTTTCAGGGTTGTATTGGTACACTCATGTTTCATCACCACTGATAACACAATAACGTGTTCCAATACATTCTTTCCCCTCCGAAAGATCTCGGCAAACTTTGACTGCCTTTTGATTTTGTTCATCGGTGACCTCGTTTAGGACCATTTTTGCACACACCTTTCTCATGCCAAAATTTTTAGTTAAGATTTTCCTGACTGTTTTTCTATCAATGTTTACTTGGTTGCTATGCTTCTCACAGTCAGCCAATGATTTTGATGCACAATTTGACAATTTTTTTGCAATGCTTTCTTCAGTTCTGCTCATTGCTGGCTGCCCTGACCTCTTTTCATCAGTGATGCCTTCTCGCCTCTAAGAAAATATTTCATCCATTTGTACACGGCCATTTTCTTCATGGTATTATCCCCATAAGTTTGGACTAACAGGTCCCCAATTTTACTTCCACTCTTGCCAAGTTCAACAAGAAATTTAATGTTTGTTTGTTGCTCTTCAGGGGTGTTCAACCTGTGACCCATGTGGTGATTTTGTGAGGACTGTTTTTGCTTATTGGTGGTGTCAGATAGCACAAAAAGTATGCACAGATCTTTTTGTCCCTGCTAAACCAGCTTTCCTTAGTGTTTGTGTATTTACTGTGTGTCCTAAGATAACTCTTTTTTTTTTTTTTTGAGATAGTCTCACAATGTCGCCCTCAGTAGAGTGCGATGACATCATAGCTCACAGCAACCTCAAACTCTTGGGCTTAAGTGATTCTCTTGCCTCAGCCTCCCAAGTAACTGGGACTGTAGGCACCCTCCATAACGCCCAGCTATTTTTTGGTTGCAGTTGTCATTGTTTTTTTTTTAATTTACTTTTATATTTTTTTATTTTATTTTTATTTTTTGCTGTTTTTGGCCGGGGCTGGGTTTGAACCCACCACCTGCAGTATATGGGGTCTGCACCCTATTCCTTTGAGCCACAGATGCCACCCCGATTTATTTTTATTTTTTGAGACAGAGTCTCACTTTGTCGCCCTTGGTAGAGTGCTGGGACATCATAGCTCACAGCAACCTCCAACTCTTGGGCTTAAGCAATTGTCTTGCCTGAGCCTCCCACTGGGACTGCACGCAGGTGCCACAATGCCAAGCTTTTTTTGTTGTTGCCGTTGTCATTGCTGTTTTAGCTGGCTGGTGCTGGGCTCCAACCCACCACCCTCAGTGTCTGTGGCTGGCGCCATAACCACTACGCTACAGGCAGACAACTCTTATTCTTCCTATGTGAGGCAGAGGAAAACAAAGGTTGGACACCTCTGAGTCTAATTCAAGCTCTGACATTCTCCCATGGTGCACAGAAACATGTGATGACGATAATGAATGCCACTCAGCGAGATATTGCCACACTTTGACATGAACACACCTGTGAGACACTGATATACCAAGGTTATGAAACCTTACCAAGTTTTTTATACTGGTAAGGTGCTGTCAACATAAGTGCACAGTGGCAAGTTTGTGAACTTGATTGTCAGACCTCATATATTACTTGGCTCAGTAGACAATAATATTTGTAGTCCTTAAAAGGTAAATATTATTTATTGTCTTTAATTAGTAATGATGAGTAGGATGGGTTATCAGCAGAAGGGAAGTAAACCGGGACTCAATAGATGATTCAGAGTTAGATGTCTTAGCTGGACCACCTTACTCCTTCCACATCTCAATGGCTGGATACAAATTTATTTTCTTGTCCACAGGGATGATCCTGGGAGTTGGTTTCCTGGCCAGTCATCCTGGCCAGTCATAAGTTCCTTCCATTTTGTAGCTCAGCCATCTCCTGGGGCCTCAGAATTCTTTAAAATCCTTCAGTTTATTTATTTACATTTTTTTAGGCTGGAGTGCAGTAGCACAATCATAGCTCACTGCAGCCTCAAACTCCTGGACTCAAGGTATCCAACTGCCTCAGCCTTCCAAGTAGCCTCCCAAGTGCAGGCAGGAGCCACCACATAAGGGCAATTAAAAAAAATTTTTTTTTGTACAGATGGAGAGTCTTGCTTTGTGGCCCAGGCTGGTCTCCAACTCCTGGCCTCAAGGGATTTTCCCACCTCAGCCTCCTGAGTAGCTGGAATTCTAGGCAGGAAACACCACACCTGGCAATATCCTTCTCTGTAAAGTATTGAAAGTGTACAGTTGTCGGGGAGTTTTATGGGCTGGGTCTGAGAATGGCACACATATTTAATTGGCCAGAACTTGGTCTGAACTGCAAGGAAAGCAAGGAAATGTAATTGAGCTCTATGTCCAGGATCAAGAAGAAAATTGTCTGGAACAAGTGATAATAGCTGCCATACCAGGTAAAAAATAGAGGAGAAGGTGGGGAAGAGCAGCCCTAGTTAGTATTCACTTGTTCAAAGATCAATACATCTTATTGAGCACCTGCTAAGGACTAAGCTTGGTTTTAGGAATGGCAGATATAACAATGAACAAAGGGGAGACTCTGCCCTCATGGAATTTTATTTAGTGGGGAACAGCAGGTGTGAGTTCCTATGGAGTATGGAACCTGGCATCCTAGGCCAAGGTGGCTGGAATAAAGTTAACGATTTTGTAGAATGTAATAAGGGCTTTGGATTTGATTCTAAGAGTGGTGGGAATTCTCTAAAGAGCGTTAACCAGGCTGGGCGCCATGGCTCATGCCTGTAATCCTAGCACTCTGGGAGGCTGTGGATTGCTTGGGCTGACCAGTTTGAGACCAGCCTGAGCAAGAGGGAGACTCTGTCTCTAAAAAAACAGCCGGGTGTTGTGGCAGGCGCCTGTCGTCCTAGCTACTTGGAAGGCTGAGGCAAGAGAATGACTTGAGCCCAGGAGTTTGAGGTTACTGTGAGCTATGACATGAGAGCACTCTACTGAGGGTGACAAAATGAGACTCTGTCTCATTTAAAAATAATAGCAATATGTTAACCAGGGGCTTAAAAATCATTTACTCTGGCTGCCTTGTGGAAAATGAATTGGCAGGGCATAGCTGGACACAAGAATGGAAGCAGAAGGACCAGATATTACAGGCAGGCTAGAGATGAGGGTGGCCTGTCCTTGTCTGGTGAGGTGACGATGAAGAAAGTTGGACAGGCCGGAGAAATATCTGAAAGGCGAGGAGAGGGACAGGGTGACTGGTTGGATGTGAGGGGCGAAGGCCTAAATGAGAGCTATCTTAGCAGCAGTTTGAGACACAAGTCAGAGGACGGGTGTGCAAGCGCTTTTAGCAAAAGCCACACGGCAGCTGATGAAATCGCAGGGCGCGACCGTTTTACAGATGGGAAACGGAGGCACCGAGATACCAGCGCTTGGAGTCAAGCCACGACGTTCTCGGCGCTCACTCCTCGGGTGGGTGAAAAGACTGAGGCGTGCAGGGCACCCACTAAGCTGCCCCAACGAGCGCGCCGGCCCCGCCGGCTTGCCCTGTCCGCCGCCTCTGTCCCAATAAAGTTGTTGAAATTGACACCGGTTGCTAAGGAAGTGGGTCGCCGAGCCAGGTTGCTAAGGAAGTGAGCGGCCGCCGTCTCTCCCCATCCGGGGCAGCGGGGAATGGCTGAGCTCGGGGTTTGCCGCCCCCGCCGCCGCCGCCGCCGCCGCCGCCGCCGCCGCCCGCTTTCGGCTCGGGCCGCAGGTGAGTCGGGAGGGGCCCGGGAACCTGCCGCGCACGGCCGATCCCTTTGGTCGCCTGGGATTTTCCTGGCTGTCCGAGCCGCTGGCGCTGCCGCCTGGTTTTGCAGCCCTGCGGAACCGGAGCATCCTCTGCCCTGCCTCCTGGGCATCCTCTGGCTGTCCGGGCGGCCTCGCCCCTCCTTCCTCGGGCGGAGTCTCAGCCTGACCCCCAGCTACGGCCGCCTGGGGTCGGAGTCCACCTCGGGGGTCCGGGGCTGTGGTGAGGGTCCCCGCTGCTGACAGGGGCACTGAAGCCAGAGCCTGAGGTTCAAACATCGGCGCTGTCCCTGGCTCGTTGTGTGACCTTGGGCAAGTCCCTTCCCCCTTTGGCCTCAGTTAACCTTTTTGTCCGATGGGGTCCTGACAGTAGATGCTTAGAATAGTTACGATGATGAAGTGTATGTGTGAAAGTGCCCTAAGTAGGAAGAGGGAAAATTCTTAAGGAATCCTATCTAACATGGGGGCCAAGAGTCAAGCTTGATATCTGAGTGAGTAGGAAACTTGGCTTCTCCACTTAGTAACTGTGGGTCTTTGGGCAAATAAATCCCTTTGAGCCTTCTTTTTCTTATCTATAAAATGGGATAATGAGCTACTGTGGAAATCCAATGAGATTGGGTATGTTAAGTAGCTTGGCATGTAGTACATGCTCAACAAGCTATATGATGAGACATCTGGAGTAGGAGGGCAAGACTTCCAAGAAGAGATGAGGTTAGGGTAGAGCACCAACTTATATGGGGAGTCTACTGTGACATCCTTCCCACTCCAGGTTTTACTTCTCCATTCTGCTCAAAGCAAGAGTGGTAGTGGTAAACTTTTGCAAATAGCCCTGGTGGGGGAACTGCTGAGGTGCAGTCCTTGTAGATGGGTGGGGTTATGGTCATATTTTCTGCTTGGGTCTTGTTGACCCTTCGAGGAGAAAAAGGAAATCTTTATGTCCTTTGGGAAGTGCTTAAAACAGTAAAACTCTTTACAGTATATGATTAAGCATTTTTCAGGCTGGCGCCTGGCTGATGCCTATAATCCCAGCATTCTGGAAGGCCAAGGTAGGAGGATCACTTGAGCTCAGGAGTTCAAGACCAGCCTGAGCAAAAGTGAGACCTCCATCTCTACTAAAAATACAAAAATTAGCTGGGCGCTGTGGTGCACACCTGCATTCCCAGCTATGTGGGAGGCTGAGGCAGGAGGATCACTTAAGGAGGAGTTTGAGGTTGTTGTGAGCTAGGCTGACATAACAACATTCTAGTCTGGGCGACAGAGTAGGACTCTTATTTCCAAATGAAAAAAGAAAATCAACATTTTTCAGGTATGTTATTTCATTGATCTTTACATAGACTTTGCCAGGTAGCTGGTGGTATCATCCCCATTTTGCAGGTGAGGAAACTGAGGTTCAGAAAACTGGATGACTTGCCTTTGATTTTTCAACAGTAGCTGTTACAAGGCCCACAAGGTGGGGAACCTGCAGCCCTCTGATTTCAAGCCTGTTCTTTTTTAAGTACCCAAGGAGGCAAGAAAAACTTCATCTTTCTTTGATTTACCTGTTACAATAAAAAGATTTGTTCTGTAAAATTTGGATTTAGGCAAAAGGCAATACTCAAGGATCTAGAAGGCCACATGTTCCACCAAAGCTGAAGGTTCCCCACCCTGTGAGGCTTTTCTTCCAATGGCGAGGAAATAGAGCTCACAGAAAGTTTCATTGAAATAGATAAGATCTGAAGTGTGGTTCTGAAAAAGAGCTGGAATGTTTAAAAGGGGGCTTCTTTGTCTCTCATTCCCTCCTCTTTAAAATGAGGTGAAAGGGGGGTTGGGCGGGTGGCTCGTGCCTGTAATCCAGCACTTTGGCATGCCAACATGGGAGGATCATTTCAGCCCAGAAGTTTGAGGTTACAGTAAGCTGTAATTGAGCCACTGCATGCTAACCTGGGTGACAGGGTGAAACCCTGTCGCTCACTCAATCAATCAATAAAGTGAGGGGAATAGGTTAGATGATACTGAAGTGCGACTGTGCAATTGTAGTACAAAGCACACTATCAAGCTGCCCAGGTTAAAATCTTGGCTCTGCTGTAATTCACTTTACTTCTTTGTGTTATAGTTTCCTCATCTGTAAAATGAGGATAATAATAGTACCTAAGCTGGCTCTTGCTTGTGATCCTAGCACTTTGGGAGTCCAAGGTGGAGGACTACTTGATGCCAAGAGTTTGAAAGTAAGAGCAAGACGCTGTTTCTACAAAATATAGAAAAAAGGAGTCGGGCAAGGGCGGTGCCTGTGGCTCAAAGGAGTAAGGCGCCGGCCCCATAGGCCAGAGGTGGCAGGTTCAAACCCAGCCCCAGCCAAAATCTGCAAAAAAAAAAAGAGTCAGGCAATAGTCCCAGCTACTTGGGAGGCTGTAATAAGAGGACCGTCTTGAGCCTAGGAGTTTGAGGTTGTAGCGTCTAGCCCAGGCAACAAAGTGAGACTTTGACTCAAAAAACGAAAATAGTATCAGGCCCTCATGGTGGCTTACACCCGTAATCCCAGCACTCTGGGAGGCTGAGATAGGTGGATTGCTTGAGCTCAGGAGTTCAAAACCAACTTGAGCAAGAGGGAGACCCCGTCTCTTAAAAAAAAAGAAAAAGAAAGAAAGGGGTGGCGCCTGTGTCTCAAAGGAGTAGGGCTCTGGCCCCATATGCCAGAGGTGGTGGGTTCAAACCCAGCCCTAGCCAAAAACTGCAAAAAAAGAAAAATGGTGAGGATTTATTTGTGCCTAATACATGTAAATTGCTGGCATATTTAGTAAATGTTAGCTGTCATTATTTGGGCTTAAAATAGTGCCTATACTGTATTTTATTTTCCATATATATTTTCTATATATGGTTTGTAAATTAATGCGTTAAAGTATGTCTGTCAGCCTCAAAAGGTCATTGCAAAGATGAAAGAGTAGGCATCATAGCTTTATATAAATGTTGGTTATTACTACAGGGTTGCCCCAGGAACCTGTAATCTTGTGCCACAGTGGCTTGCAAAGAAAGGTGATAGATGATGGTAAGATGTCAGTTTTGTTAGCCCAACATCCAGTTAGGTAAATGTTTGTTAAATCCCTCTATGCCAGTCATATGGAGCATGTAGAAATCAATCTTATGTCTATATCCTTCAAGGAACCTGAGCTTAATTTGTAAATTACTAACATTTGACATTATTTAACTTTTTTTTTGTTTTGAGACAGAGTCTCACTGTGTCCCCCTCAGTAGAGTGCCTTGGCATCACAGCTCACAGCAACCTTAAACTCTTGGGCTTAAGAGATTCTCTTGCTTCAGCCTCCCAAGTAGCTGGGACTACAGGTGCCTGCAACAACACCCGGCTATTTTTTGGTTGCAGTTGTCATTGTTGTATAGCAGGCCTGGGGCCAACTCGAACCGGCCAGCTTCAGTGTATGTGGCCATCACCCTACTCACTGAGCTACAGACACGGAGCCTTTTTTTTTTTGAGACAGAATCTTACTTTGTTGCCCTCGGTAGAATTCTGTGGCGTCACAGCTCACAGCAACCTCAAATTCTTGGGCTCAAGCAATTCTCTTGCCTCAGCTTCCCAAGTATCTGGGGCGACAGGCACCCACCACAACACCCAGCTATTTTTAGTGATGGAGTCTTGCTCTGGCTCAGGCTGGTCTTGAACTCATGAGCTTGGGTGATCCACCCACCTTGGCCTCCCAGAGTGTTAGGATTACAGTCATGAGCCACTGCACCCAGCCCAATTTAACTTCTTTAAATGACTTTATATGTTGCATTATATATGCCCCTGCTGCATAAGGCCTCTGATTCAAAGCTCTTCTGTTGTATGGCTAGACTTCTTTTGGGTGCCTCAGATAGCTCTTTACGCCTTTATACCCATTAGTTTATAGGTCCCTGTAAACAATACAATACTGTCTATATAGCACAATTGTTTACAAAAATGCTTCCATGTGTCTTTACTTGTTGGGACTCATCATTAACCCTGCGAGGAAGGTAAGATGCAGATTAAGATCCCTGTTTTACAGTAAAGGATCCTGAGGTAGGAGAAGCCATGCTGCTACTAAATGGCCCATTTCACATTGGAATCTAGGTCTTCTGATTCCAAGTTCAATGCTCTTGCCACTGCACTCTCTTGGTTTTATTTATTCAACATCTGTGGAGCATCTGGAATGTATCAGCCCGGGTTCCAGCCTGGAGATCTGATAGTAGAAAGGTCCTTACCCTCATGCAGTTTACATTCTAGGGGTAGCGAACAGAAAAATAAATCAACAAATAAGTGATGTGGAAACAGTAAAACAGTGTTGTCACAGAGAATAACTTATCCGGAGGATTAGGGATGCCACTACTTTAACTGGCTGGTCAGAAAGGCCTCTCTAAGGCAGTGACATTTTTGCTGAGATTTGCTCCCAGGTAGGGACCAGCCATTTGAAGATGTGTCAGAAGGAGGAGCACGGGTAAAGGCTCTGAGGTGGGAACAAGTTTGGTAAGTTCTAGGAACTGCAAGAAGGCTTAGAATGGCTTGGGCAGATGAGCTGGAGGGAGAGTGGAGAGGTGGGTGGATGGGGGGGGCGTGTCTCATATCATACAGGGCCTTGTACGCTAGAGCAGGGAGTTGGAGCTTTGTTCTAAAAGCAGTGGGAACTGTTGAAGGCTATGAAAAAGGATCTACTTTTTGTTGTTTAAAAAATCACTCCAAGGGTACAAGTGAATCTTTCTATGAGTAGAATATGAATGTTTTGACATAATAACTAAGAAAGTTACATGAAGGCTATGTTAACCAGTTTGATGGAAGTGTCTTGGATTTTCTATGAAAACACCACACTGTACCCCCAAAGTGCATCAATGTATACAGTTACCATTCAATAAAAATAAAATAAAATAAAATAATAAGAAAAAAAAATAAAAAATCACTCCAGCCTCTCTGGCCAGTGAATTTTATAGGAGTGGCAGCCAGGGGATGGTGAGTTAGGGGTTGGG